GCGCAGCGCGGAGCGAGCCCGGCGGGCGGGGAGGAGCGAGCTTCGGCAGCCACAGGGACCGAGGAACAGCTCGGCTTTCCCGGCAGGTGGAGGATGGCGACGGGACCTCCCGCGCCCTCTCGGGGCGGAAAGGCGCGGCTCAAACCTGTTCAGTTCGCAGAGGCGGCTCTAACCGAGGCTTTCTCAGGTGTGCGTGCGCAGGAGCCGAGGCCAGCATCAGTTCGCCCAGGGAAAACGTGACCCCTAGAAGCCCAGGTCAGACAAGGGAGCGTCTACACCCAAAAGGTCGCCAGGGCTGGTCAGCATCTCCCCTCATTGGCGCACGGGGCTGCCGCGCCCTTTTCCTGGCTGCACCTCTGCTGAGTGCGCATCTGCGGGTTCAACTCCCTGGGCCAAGGCGCCCTAGGAAGGATGGGTGATCAGCCCTCCGCCCCTTCCCAGCAGAGGGCCTGGAATAAACTAAAGGCCCAAGAACCTTAAGAGGTAAGGAGGGGCAACGGACAAAGCCAAGGCATTGGCACATACTACAAGGTCTCTCCTTGGACCTCCCCTAACCCCCCCGGACCTGCCACTTTCTGTCCCTCTTCGTTCCCGCAGCGTTCCCTGCGCTCCACAGGAGGGCACACCGCGGCGCCGCCTTAGTACGCCCGGGGCTGGCGCTGTGCAAGGCCTGGACGCTCAGTCTCAACCACCCTTCCGGACTTGGAGTCCGCGCCTCTGTCTCCAGGGCTAGCTGGCCTCAGTCCCCACTGAGTACCCGGGCATCCTCACCCGTGGATGCAGAGCCCTCCTCGGCTTCCAGCCTTCTGTCGCCTCTCAGCGCTTCCAAATCTGCCCTCTCTCTCCTCAGCCTAATCCAGCCAGCCATAGGCCCTCTCCCATGCCTTCTACTTCTTCCTCGGCTTGAATTTGACTCCTTGCAGCCCCCAGAACAGGGTTTGTACCAAAGCTGCTACACCAAATTTAGATCTCCACACGCCCCGGCGTTTTGTGTGTTTCTTTAATTGCATTAACTAAGTATACACTTCGCAGTCAGCTAGGCGATTTGCAGAGAAATGTTTCCACCACCGTCCTCTCTGTGTGGCTGCAGTCTGGGCTTCTATCGGTGACATTTCTAAGAGCCAAAAAGTTTGGCCACATATTAAAATGTCACACTGGGGTCCCCTTGATTGAAGCGTTGTGGGAGGTTTTACTGGGAATGTTGCAAATTTTCTCAGAATAGGAAGGACTTTGTCTAATCACTCCTTCACCCTGAAGAATCATCCCTTACAGTCTCCCCAAAGATTTGCAAACAATGAGCCTCTAGCACACCGGTTATGTCGTAGCATAACCAGGAGGGATACCTGCCCCTGAAAGGCTATATTACGGATTATATTATATTATATCCCAAACCCACATAGACAAAGTGTGAGGTTGTTTTTCTTAATATATTCCACGAATTCAATCTAACGGGATGCTCAAAATATGACAGTGTGCTATGTCCGTTAGACTGGGAAGCATATGGCAACCTACGCCCACTATCACTGTGGAAGCCTTGCAAACACAAGCATGGGTGTGTCCACTAATGATAGCTGACATTATTTCAGGGCTTGCAACAAACCCTGAAGTTTGCTTTCTTAAAATCACCTCCACAAGGAAGTTTGGAACAGTGCATGGGGTATACCAGATACTCTGGGAATCTTTGTTAAGCTCTTAAGTAAATGTTTTTATTTAACTCTTGCTCTCTGGTTAGGTAATATTACCGGGCCCATACCGCAGAGTAAAAGACTGAGACCCAAAGCCATTAAGCCAATTGCTGTAGTTCATAAGGAAGTGCCAGAGCTGGCATTTGAACTCAAGAAATTAACTCCTAAGTCTACGTTCTAAACACTGCATGTGCGGTCCTGTCCTAAAATCAGTTTCCAAGCTCTCTATTCACCTAACATGACATTTTATATTTGTTAATTGCCTCTGACCCATTCCATACCTTAAAATATATACTCCATAAATGTAAATTTCATCCCACAAAGGACCTTTACTCTAGATGTTTCCCCAGTAACTAGAATTCTGCTGGACCTGGTACCAACAAACCCATTGTTGTTGTTGTTGTTGTTAAGTGCTGTCGGGTCAGTTACGACTCATTGCAACCCTGTATAGGGTTTCCAAAAACTCACCTGCCATTCCTTGGAAACCCTATACCCAGTCGCTATGAGTTACAACAACGAACTAATTAAAGGCCTTTTATGGAGGTGACCCCAGGTGGAACAAATGTTTGCACTTCACCTCTAACCTAAGGTTGGCAGTCTAGACCCACCCATCTGCATCTCGGAAAAAAGGCCTGCCATCTGCTTCAGTAAAAAGAGTTCGATGTTTGTTTGTTGTTGTTAAAACTCTATGGAGCAGTTCTACCCTGTAACGCATGGGGTCACTAGGAGTCAGGATCAGCATGAAGGCCACAGGTTTGGGGCTGTGTTTGTTTTTTACATACTCAGACAAGACCCTGTCTTAGACCATCCAAGGAATGGACCATTTAGGATACACCAAACAGAGAGTCTGATGTTAGGATGCCCATGAAGGGGTTGGAGACCATTCTGAATTCTGAATTACAAACATCTCCTCCAGCAAACTGTCTCAAGCAGAAGAAGCTAAGACTCTTGACACATTAAGGCCCACTCCTGATATGGCGCTGTAGGATAATGGTGCTGGACTGCAAGATCAGTTCGAACCACAAGGTCAGGAGTTCAAACCTACCAGCTATTCCTTGGAAAAACTATACAGGGTTGCTATGGGGCCCCTGTGGTAGAAGTACTGGACTCTTAATCACAAGGTTGGCAATTCAAACCCACCAGCCACTCCAGGGGAGAAAAATGAGGCTTTCTGTTCCCTTAAAGATTAACAGCCTCAGAAACCCAATACAGACAGGGTCCTCACTATGAGTGGGAATCCACTAGATGCTAATAGGTTTGAATGTAGAGTGCCTGGTTCCCAAAAGGTGGCTCTTACCTCCTTTCCCACCCCACCTTCACCATGGTGCTTCCAAGCAAGATGAGAATTTAATTAATGACAGGGTAGGAGAGTAAGACACAGCCCCCTTCCTTCCAGGGGTGGAGTTCTTAGGGCACTTCTCAATTTGATTTTTAGAGTAAAAATAATAATATCCTTAAAGCAAAGAGACTTGCTCTAGGCAGAAAAGTCCACTTCAAGCTCTGTCCCCACATCTCTGTAAAACATTGCCTGTCCACAGACCTTCTGACTGTGGCTCTCTGAGGAGGCCGACACTGGCTGTTGTTCTTGGCTTTAATTAACAGAGACTGCCCCCTGTTTGTGACAAGGAGAGTGGAAGTCTTGTGCTTTGGAAGAAAGATAACCCCATCCATCCTTGGTGGGTTATTTGTGGATTCTAAACCCAGGGCCTTCGCATCCCTCTGAGTTTTTCCCAGAACAAGCTCCCTTCCTGCTCCTGTCTTTTGCTATCCTGGAAATATTACCTGAGCTTGTTTCTCAAGCTTGGACTAAATCCTGAGAACAAGAAAGAATCATTCTGATTCCTTTTACTCTTCAAAGGAAAAAAGCCCATTTCCTCTGGATAGGGTCAAATCAGTAAATATTCACAGTCGCTACTGCATAAATGTTGTGTGCCTTCAAGTTAGCTCCAACTCATAACGACCCTATACGTAACAAAACAAAATATTGCCTGGTCCTGCATCTTCACAGTTGTTGCTATGTTTGAACCCATTGATGCTGCCACTGCATTAATCCATCTCCTTGGGGAACTTTCTCTTTTTTGTTGATCCTCCGCTCACTCACCAAGCATGATGTCTTTATCCAGGGACTGATCCCACTACATACTGTTGTTAAGTACCAGTACCGTGGAGTCAGTTCCGACTCATAGAGACCCTGCACAGTGTTTCCAAGGCTGTATATCTTTACTGGAGCAGAAACCTCATCTTTCTCCCACGGAACAGCTGGTAGTTTCAAACTGCTGACTGTGAGATTAGCAGCCCGATTCGTAACCACTACACTACCAGAGCCCCCTTTACTACATACTAGGAGTATGATTATTGGAAACACGCCCATATTTGGGATAGGGGATCATGAAGCCATTTCTTTAAGGGGTCCTGGGAGGTTTTATCAACTTAATTGAAACATCTGCTTGAAAGATGAAAATTTTTCCTACACGCACCACCAGCACCAGCACCACCATTACCGTCCAAGTGAGTTCATACAAATGTGCTAAAATTAACATGCAGCTCTTGATGATCGTGTTTTCTATGAAAGACATGAAGGCATTATTATTTACAACACAGGAGTTTTTAGTATCTAAAGAATCTCATTTGCAGTAGCCCTCATTCTACCAGACTACACATCACTCCCCAACAATTAGAAAGGGTGGTGATGTAACAAAAGCTTGCATA